ATGGTTCCCATTGACTATTTTTCAGTGGGGTTGCAGCCACCACTCAGTAATAGAATTCTAATAGAATCAAGGTCTTTTTAGCGTTGAGGATGTTAAAGAAGGCACAAACTTGGGATTATGTTCGGCAACAGAAATGAGGGATTTGCTAACATTGGCACCCCGGGGTTTAACATTGATATGTTGCCACCAGTATGAGGTAAATCGTCCACTGGACGAGTGAAATGCCCCTTGACCCCGAGAGGGGTCTTGTAAGCTGGAATCTCCATGGTTGCAGCTGCCCATTGAGAAAAGAGTGAAACATAGTTTAACATAGTAACTAGACTAACTAGACAGTGACATAGTATGTTTTGTGTTGTGAGGGTAAATCCCAATTTGTCCAAGGTAAATCATGGTATCTCAATCCTTCCTTTTGTTTGTGACGTGGATTTTCAGGCTCAATACAGCGTGATGAGTTGTGGTCATTGCTAAGGTGGTCCAAACTTGGTTCGTTTCCTTGTTTACCAATGTTTATCACAGGGTTGACCCTCTAAACTGGCTTGAATGGTGGGAACCCCAGTGTGTCGAGCGGCCATCAGACATGTCACGGGCATATATATATATAAGAGAGATTGTCGGTTTTTTTACTGACACATATGTGTGCGCTTGCATTTGACTCAGAGACTCCGCCATGTTTCAGATGCTGCATACGAATGAATCATTCTTGAATATGGACGTTGGAGCAACATAACATAATATAATTATTCAAAAACAACTATTGTAGCCACGAAGAATGAAGACATAGTTTTTCACTTTGGAATGGGTTGAAACCTGCATGCCTAGTACACTTGGGGGTAATGAAAATCCATAAGTCACACGTATTTTGATGTGAAAACCAGTGCGATTGCGCCCCCTTCCGCGGAAATATCGAGGTCGTTTGGATCTTGGAGTTTGTCGGGATCAATTAGCACAAGAGCCTTGGATGACTCGGCGTGTTCACCATTAGTTGGACTTCATCAGCGGCTAAGGTTGGGGATATGTAAGACATATGATGCAACATCACAAGCACATCAAAAACACCAAAACAGTGATCCATGAATCCATCGTGGATTTTGGCATCACTTTAAGCGAAAAACACTCCAACATGTTGGCATTTTCACCACCAAAATCATCCACATGTTTTACAGTCAGGGTTTTGCCATATCGATTTTGATGGTAACTGCGTTTCCCACAGGAAGCTATGCTGGCACGTCGGAAGCTGAAAGCCAACGAGTCAGACGTCATGTCCAAGAAGGTCCACGGCCTGTTTTTTGGGAAAGATTGGCTTATGAAAGTGAAATCATATGTTGATCTACCTATAAGATTATATATTATATATCCATATATATATATCTTAAAATTAACCTACCTTGACAATTAACTCTAATTACTGGTGTCTACAATGGCTAACTTATATATAGACCATCTTAACCATGAAGGACTACACACACATATATATATATATATATATATCCCGTTATATCCATTTTTTAGCATATTGTATCCATGAGATGCTAACCATCTATTGCATGGGGATTTCTTGCAGTAGCCATCTAAAATCGCGCTACAAATGATGTCCCCCTGGTCGACTTTAGCAGCAAGCCCTGGGACGTCACCCTAGGGGGCTTATAACATGATTATAACATGTTTATAGGTGATCATACACATGATGCACAGTCGCATTTTGTAGATATGCAAGCAATTCATCTGATCAATCCGTTACTTCATGGTTTCGTTCCTACTATAAATGGTGGCTGCGTTTGAATACGAATGATTGCTGAATCAAAGGATGATTTTTTCAGGCATTCTGATGTTTTTGTTTTTTTTTTGCTCCCCCTCTTATAACATCAAGTTTAGTTTACCTTGTTAATACATGTTAATACACCAATCATCGACTTTTAAATGGGCTGTTGTACATGAGCCCAGAAAGCGGCCAGCAAGGCCGGTGAAGCCCTCGAGGATCACATTTGGACACAGTTGGATCAGAATTTGTAACAAAAAAGGATCATTTATATACATGTTAATATTAATGTTATTACATAGATATACAGATACATATATTTATATATATGTTCATATATATATAACGTATTATATATATATATCATACATGCATACATACATACATACATACATACATACATACATACATAAATATATATATATGTGTGTGTGTGTGCGTGAGTGTGCACTGCCAACCTATGGATCACAATTGCAGCGCCCTGGGATGAACCGACTTCAACCAGGTGCCCCTACAGCCATGACTATTACCACTATTAGATTTTGGACCCTCCTCTGTACTACCAGTTTTTTTTCCTGGGGGTTCAGTACGTTTTTAAAAAAACACTATTTTCCAAAAATCTAGCAGACAGTGGGTGAGGGTCCCGGGGCATGATATGGGGCCAGGAATAAAATATCATACCAAAAAAGGCCTATAATTTTTTTCCTGAAAGCTTCCTGACGTACAGTGACAGGAAATCAATTTCTGCCTGTTGTGATTGAGGGGGGGTTGATCTATCAGTCTGTGTATGTAAGGCATCAGGAAATCAATCATGAATGACTCTGATAATGGGTAAGTTTGTAGAATTCCTAAGGTTAGTAGCCAGGAATTTGAAGGTGTATGGATCAAATGGGAGTTTACTAGAACATATCTAAATGTCAAACCCCAGGAAAAAATATACCATGATTAATTGAGTGGGTATGATTTTTTAAATGACTTTGCAAAAGGGGTACAACCACATATGTTCACCTTCACCAACCAAAAAAGTGACTTCAAGAGGCAAAGGCTGGCCCCACAAGAAAAAAATCGCATCACCAGGTCAACCACCCATAGATAGGAAATGCTGGGACAAATTGAAGAATTTTGTTCCAACGTGTGGCCAAATTGCAAAACAGGCGTTTTTTCCTGAAGATACATTTGTCCATGCAAAAGGGTTGCGCATTGCCGTGGGCATCTGCCGGACCGCACTCGTGAAGCCGTGGACTCTGAAAAACTGCGAGCTGTCAGCCGGGAAGTCAGGTGCCAGGAATTCATTTTTTTTCCGTATCAGATTGAGGGGGGGAAGATATGGCATGTTACCAACGCAAGCATCCAGGAAATAATTTTTTTACTTGGATATCAGAGGGGTAAATTTATTGGATGTTGGACGTTGGGTACCAGGAAATTAGCAAAGAAAATTCAAAAAGGTGGTTGGAAGTGAGATTTCGGTTTCAGAGGTTAGGAACCAGGAATTTAAAGCTCTAAAACCTCTCTCAAAGGTTAGGGGTCATAATTTTAGACCAATTTTTTTCTAGGACTGTACCCCACGTTGGAGTACAGACGGGGATATTTTGGGATATAACTCCCATAATTGAAGTGATTCCCCCCATTTCCAAGTGGTTTATATTTATATATATATACATATTTATACATATATATATAAATATATTTATATATATATATATATACATTCAGGGGCTGATGTAGGGGGATGCAAGTCTGGATGGATTCCGGGGGGGCTTCTTCGAAGCTGAAAAGATGAATTTTGCCACTTAGAAGCTCTTAGAAGCAGAAGGGTTCTAAGAAGCTAAACATACAATTTAAATCAAAAAGAAAACTTATCTTCTAAGAAGGCCTCTACTTCTAAGAGGCTGCTTCTAAGAAGCAAAACCCTTCTAAGAAGCCCATGCAGCTTCTAAGTGCTTCCGCGAAGCAAAAAACGCATCCATCCCGCGTTCCCACCAGAACTGCGTCCCCTTAGATTGGGCCCTCATACATATTTATACATATATATATATAAATATTTATATATATATATAAATATTTATTTATTTGTGTAGTTCCATCTAAGTATGTTTTTAACAAATACCATAGAAATCCACAGGCCCAACAGCTAACCTACTTATATCATGTTATAGCCCCACTGCAGCAAGATTCGCACGAATCATCTCCAGGCGAATGCCGCGAGAGCACTCGCAATGGATCGGCAGCGAGCCGATGAAAAACGGAAAGAAGCCAAGGACCAGCTCCGTGAATCTGGTGACCCTCTGGTAAACATACAAAAAACTATGGAAAATTGCGCATTTATATATATATATATATATATATAGATGGTTTACCTAGTAAACATGGTGATTTTCTATAGCTATGTTAAATTACCAAAGGGTACCCATGTTTAAGAGCTGGAGTTTTTTGGAACATAGCGAATATGTTGCGAACTGGAAAATCACCATTAAAATAAGAGGTGAATATTCCAGCTACTGTATGTCTATGGGCGTGTTCACCAGCTTCAAAAAAAATAACCCTCTGGTAAACCAACAGGTTGCGAACTGGAAAATCACCATTCTTGAGTTCGTAAATAAACTATAGATAAATGGCCACGGCTTCAATAGCAATTACTCTTTAATTACCAGAGGGTAGGAGTGAGCGGTTCGGAGGCTCTGGGTATCCAGCATCCATAGTCCCAATCAAAACTGAGGAGTGGTTCGGAGCCGCTTGGAGTTTCCCAAGCGTATGATTGTCCCTTGGGCGGGTGGATTTGTTCTAGAAATTTGGGATGGTTTGGCCCTCCAGTAAACTAACCTAGACAAAATCCATAATTTTGCAGATGTCACAGGGAACTCCGTGGATTTCCATCGCTATGTTGAGATAGGCAGAGAACGCAATCATCAATCCAGTAACATTCTTAGACCTCGTTGGCGGCCCTGAAACTGAGATGATGATATGTAGTTTATGTTTTTCGTGGTTTTGAAGTTTGAAATAATAAAATAGATCAATAAACAAACCAAACAAGGAATGATAAGGATTTAGGATGGTTTGATGCAACAAAGATATGAGTTCACCGTGGTTCAACCAACAACAAATTGGGGTATCATCAAGGTCATCAAGAGAAAGTAAAATGTAAACTTGGACCCGCGACTTTACGCTTCGCATTGTTTTGCCATTGGTTCATGTATGTTTATTCACAAGGACACGAATCAATCCCCTACTTGTCGCTGTCAACAAGGAGTCTCTCTCAGACTACAACGCTCGCCTGCGCTTAGATGTGGAGAGGCAGGGGACTTGATAGGACTTGTGGTGACTGGGATGGATCAGTACACTGCAGGGAAACACAGGAAATAGATGGAAATAGTGGTTGCAGAGGATTAGAACAAGAAATCAGCATCAACATGCATCAACACATTTAAGTGTCGCAGGGATGGGGTTAGCGGTTACCTATGGTTACCTGTAACCTTTCGAAATATCTTTGGGCCTTTGGGACCTCATTTTCCATATGTTTAACCAGTGCTTCGGAATTCCCATGAATTCCCTGAGGCAACTGAAGCGGATTTTCTGCCCAATCCAAGAACCTCACCTGAACATCCCTTCCTACTGGCAGAACTTGAACGTCTCCTGGCAGCTCCAGGGTCCCCAGGGTGGGATTTCTGTTCAGCTTCAAGTGAAAACCACAGGGACTGGCTGTGGGTTACAAGGACCAAACAGTTTCTATGAAAATTGTTTCCGAACTGGATGGCGCCGAACAACAGCTGAAACTTCTTTAGTGATCAAATTCTGATGCTGCAAGTGACTTTTCTATTGAGCATGTCTCATCGCAATTACCTGATCTATGAATTATCAGCTGGTCGGGTCGCGGGCATTGCATCGTGCTTACAGTCTGGGAATCCAGTGCCAACGAATATACTGTGAATGTAATCATATGTGTACAATATGTATTACATTTTACGGGTTTGTATGATTTTTTATGCATGCATTGATTCGCGATTAGTTATTCACGGTTTATTTTTGAAGCTGTGACTCTGCGTGTGCTGTTCCCTTCATCACATCACAGCGCTCTCTTCAGGTGACAAATCAGCCAACGGCATTTTGTTCTACATATAAATGCGGCGAATATAATGTGGTATATTGCAGGCATATGTTTGCGTATACATGCATACATGCATACATGCATATATGATCCCCCAGCCAGTTTCCCCTATAGAATAGGTGCTGTATAAAACGATTTTTTTCTACATCAGAGCGCTCAAGCATGCGCAATGCGCATGCTGGAGAAGAGGAAAACATGGACAAAAACATGTAAAAAAACATGGGAATTGAATGGCTTTGATGGGGTTTGATGGCTTCTTACATCGTGCTTCTACATGCTTCAAGAAAAAAACAAAAATATGGCAAAAAAATGTCAGGTTTTGGGTGGACCTTGAGGGCTGCAATTTTATAGTCCCTAAAAACTGCCTTCGATCAGGGGCTCCAATTCTATAGGGGGGGTGCTCTCCAAAAGGATTCCACGAGGCAAAGGCATGCAAAGGCACTGTAGAAGCAGCCTCAGCAGCTTCAGCTGCAGAAACAGCAGCCCTTAATTTTATAGTGGGGATATATGTGACAATATGATATGAAATGATATGTGATGATATGTGGGGATTTGATGGGATTTGATGGGATTTGATGGCTTCTTACATCGTGCTTCTACATGCTGCAAGAAAAACCAAAAAATGCCAAAAAAATGTCAGGTTTTGGGTGGACCTTGAGGGTTGCAATTTTATAGTCCCTAAAAACTGCCTTCGATCAGGGGCTCCAATTCTATAGGGGGGGTGCTCTCCAAAAGGATCCCACAAGGCAAAGGCATGCAAAGGCACTGTAGAAGCAGCCTCAGCAGCTTCAGCTGCAGAAACAGCAGTCCCTAATTTTATAGTGGGGATATATGTGATGATATGATATGAAATGATATGTGGGGATATGTGGTGATTTGATGGGATTTGATGGGATTTGATGGCTTCTTACATCGTGCTTCTACATGCTTTAAGAAAAACCAAAAGATGCCAAAAAAATGTCAGGTTTTGGGTGGACCTTGAGGGCTGCAATTTTATAGTCCCAAAAACTGCCTTCGATCAGGGGCTCCAATTCTATACGGGGGGTGCTCTCCAAAAGGATTCCACGAGGCAAAGGCATGCAAAGGCACTGTAGAAGCAGCCTCAGCAGCTTCAGCTGCAGAAACAGCAGTCCCTAATTTTATAGTGGGGATATGTGATGATATGATATGAAATGATATGTGATGATATGTGGGGATTTGATGGGATTTGAAGGGATTTGATGGCTTCTTACATCGTGCTTCTACATGCTTTAAGAAAAACCAAAAAATATGTCAAACAAATGTCAGGTTTTGGGTGGACCTTGAGGGCTGCAATTTTATAGTCCCTAAAAACTGCCTTCGATCAGGGGCTCCAATTCTATAGGGGGGGTGCTCTCCAAAAGGATCCCACAAGGCAAAGGCATGCAAAGGCAGTGTAGAAGCAGCCTCAGCAGCTTCAGCTGCAGAAGCAGCAGTCCCTAATTTTATACTGGGGATATGTGATGATATGATATGACATGATATGTGATGATATGTGGGGATTTGATGGGATTTGATGGGTTTTGACGGGATGTGATGGGATTTGATGGCTTCTTACATCGTGCTTCTACATGCTTTAAGAAAAACCAAAAAATGATTTTAATAAATGTCAGGCTTTGTGGGTGGACCTTGAGGGTTGCCATTTTATAGTCCCTAAAAACTGCCTTCGATCAGGGGCTCCAATTCTATAGGGTGCTCTCCAAAAGGATCCCGCAAGGCAAAGGCATGCAAAGGCAGTGTAGAAGCAGCCTCAGCAGCTTCAGCTGCAGAAACAGCAGTCCCTAATTTTATACTGGGGATATGTGATGATATGATATGACATGATATGTGATGATATGTGGGGATTTGATGGGATTTGATGGGATGTGATGGGATTTGATGGCTTCTTACATCGTGCTTCTACATGCTTTAAGAAAAACCAAACAAAAATTAAAAAATGTCAGGTTCTGGGTGGACCTTGAGGGCTGCCATTTTATAGTCCCTAAAAACTGCCTTCGATCAGGGGCTCCAATTCTTTAGGGGGGGGTGCTCTCCAAAAGGATCCCGCAAGGCAAAGGCATGCAAAGGCACTGTGGAGCAGCCTCAGCAGCTTCAGCTGCAGAAACAGCATTCCCTATTCTATAGTGGGGATATATGTGATGATATGTTGAAATGATATGTGATGATATGTGGTGATTGATGGGATTTGAATGGGATTTGATGGGATTTGAATGGCTTCTTCCAATCGTGGGCATCTACATGCTTTAAGAAAAACCCAAAAATATGTCAAACAAATGTCGGTTTTTGGGGGGACCTTTGATGGCTGCAATTTTATAGTCCCAAAACTGCCCTTCGATCACAGGTGGGTCTCCAATTCTTTAGGGGGGGTGCTCGCCAAAGGATGCCACGAGCAAAGGCATGCAAAGGCACTGTAGAAGCAGCCTCAGCAGCTTCAGCTGCAGAAACAGCAGTCCCTTATTTTTATAGTGGGGATATATGTGACAATATGATATGAAATGATATGTGATGATATGTGGGGATTTGATGGGATTTGATGGGATTTGATGGCTTCTTACGTCGTGCTTCTACATGCTTTAAGAAAAACCAAAAAATGCCAAACAAATGTCAGGTTTTGGGTGGACCTTGAGGGCTGCAATTTTATAGTCCCTAAAAACTGCCTTCGATCAGGGGCTCCAATTCTATAGGGGGGTCCTCTCCAAAAGGATTCCACGAGGCAAAGGCATGCAAAGGCACTGTAGAAGCAGCCTCAGCAGCCTCAGCAGCTTGAGCTGCAGAAACAGCAGCCTATGTCTTTCAATGATTACAATAGTTGGTTTCAAATGGTTTGACTTTTGTGCCTTCGATTGATGACCCCAAAACTTCAGTCTACAGAATTGGGGCATTATTAAACTGAGATAAAATTGGGGACCACATAATCGAAGGAAAATAGAGGGCCCCCAAAATTCGACTTGGGACACCAAATTTTAATAAAAAAAACCATCTATGATCAAGCCATTTTGGATGGCCCTAATTTTATAGAGGCCAATTTGGAGCTAAAACCCTGCACAAGTTTAACCTGGGCACTGCAATTTTGTAGTGTTTTTGCGTTTGATGACATTGATGGGTTACTGGCAGGTTGTGATTTTATAGGGCTGATTATGTATGTGTCTGTCAAGATTTTAATTTCGTAGAGGGTCCCAAAAGGGCATTTTCAAAGGATAGGCCTGGGCCCCCTATAAAATTGGAACACCCTGGTAAAACCCGTGCATTGGCAAGTGGATCATATATGTATACATGCAAACATGCATACATGCATGCATACATGCATGCATGCATGCATACATGCATGCATACATACATGCATGTATACATGCAAACATGCATACATGCACATATGCATGCGTACATGCATACATGCATACATGCATACATGCATATATGCATACATGCATATATGCATATATGCATATGCATATATGTATTCATGCATGCATACATGCATACATGCATATTTGCATATGCATATATGTATTCATGCATGCATACATGCATACCTGCATACCTGCATACCTGCATATTTGCACATGCATACATGCAAACATGCATACATGCATACATACATGCATGCATACATGCATACCTACATATGTATATATTAGTTTATATATATATATATGATTTTCTGTGTGTATTCAGCAATATCAGGTAATATTCTGCATGCAACTGGCGTATACCATGGTTATTGCCGGCGTAGCAACTGAGGTTCATTATCCGGATTTTTGCTTCTTGTGGTGGTTCAACTTTATTTCATATCGCATTCTGCTTTGTTCATATTTTTGTATCCTCATGTTTTGGTGAGTAAGAATCCTCATATTGGTTGGTAGCCTCATTATTCATTTATCGGGCATGCGCCCGTGTGTTTTCTGGTTCTTTTCCAATGTTTGTGACGGCACACCCTTTAACTCCAACATTGCATGGAGTTGCACGCAGGCCCATCGGAAAACCATCTGCAGACCCAATATATAAATCATTTTTGTGGTGTCATTGTCGCATATTTTCCGGGGCTTCTTATGATATCTCATGATATCTTATGATCTGAGTCAAGTTGTGGGTTACTCCAAGTTACTCCCATGATTTTGCCGCATCGTTTCCACGTTGGCGGCCCGAGGTGGATTATAGCGGCAAATTGGCTGTGCGGAGCTCTGTGAAGCTTGGCGAATGACACAGGGAGCTCCATAGACAGTGTCAAGGTTGATGCTATGGGGCGAGTCCCAGGGCATGGGGGGAACCAAGTTCATTTTCTGGATCAAATAAGCGTGGTTTTTGATGGGTTTTGAGGTTGGCAGCTGCCGAATTATATATATGGGACTTGGTCCCCTGCGCCCCTGCGCTGGAGGTTCAAAAAATCAAGAAAATTCAAGAAATAGAATATAAGTATAAGTTCTTGATTTGGTTAGTTTTTCGATAAACATGCCTGCTTCGGGCCCCCTGAATTTATAAGCGAAAAACATCAATATAAAGACCAGAAAAAACACCATGATCCCATGATTTTGTCCAGCTTGGGTGCTTCATTTTATAAGGAATTAGTCGTGGAAAGGGTCATTTCTGGGAATGTGGCAAATCTAAACAAAGATGGTGGTATAATTGGATATGTTGGGGATATACACTAACTAATTAATAGCGTGGATCAACAGCTGAAGCAGCAGCTGCTAAGCAAGACTTTTTCAGTCTCGCCTTTGTGCCAACTTTCGTTAGCTTGAGCCATTTTGCAATGGCAGTCACATGTCATCCTTGCGCAGTGGCCATGCTATGTTTGGTGCATGCCACCACATGTCAACTTCTAAGTTTTAAAATCCACAGCAGCTGGTGGAATGCTTCATGAATCGCACTCCCCCCCGCAGCTTGCTGCGGAACATCAAAAGTTCAGCCAAAATGGCTTTCGTAGCCCGGCTCTCAGCAGTGCTTCTTCCAGTCTTCATAGTTTTCAGGGCTCCTCCTCATTGGCATTGACATCATCGGACTCCTCATCAGTCACCAGAGCCCATTCTTCGACCAGCGGTTGGTAGGATCTTGGGACTGAGGGAGCAGCAGGAGTAGCGCTCGAGCTTGAGGAGGGCACCACAGCAGCGACACCACGTTGAATGACGCCACCACCTCTATTGTAGCCCACAGACATTGGAGCTGCAGACTTGTTGTACGGGCTTGTCGGACCCGCAATTGGTTCCACCTGGAGTTCTCGGGACTCAGCACTGGACATAGTTCCTGTGCCGCTAGCTGCAAGACATCCATCTAGGTACAGCTTCCCGATCAAAAGGCCAGGTTCACGGTGAGGTCTTTGACGCCTCGGAGTATGCATTTCATAGTGGCGTCCCACATGCACCTCGAGGTCATCGTCATTGGTGGACTGCTGTTGAGGCCAAGGCGGCCCAGCAGTCACTGTTGCCGGTTCCAGCTGTATGTTCAGGTTGAGGTCATCCATGGCTTCCATTTTCATCTTGAGAAACGTAAACCCCACCCACTGAAACTCAGCTCGAACCACAGGGTCATTCCATTGGTCGGCGACCAGAAAGCCTGGTCCATTTCTTCCATCCACATAGAACGCCTTCGTGATGCGCTCACCTGTGAGGAATTTGGCATCAACTGGCGCACTTCGGTGCAAGGGGTGGAACCTCTGTTTTCGGGCAGCTCTATGGATTCGCACCAGGTAGATGCTTTGGTCACATTTGGTCACGGACCATCCATCTTTCTTTCCACTCCTGCTCGGGGCGCCAAAACGCTCATCCAACCATGGACCTTGTTGAGGCATTTGGTCAAGTTGAGTGCCTCCTGCCTTTTTCATGGCCTTTTCTGCGGCCAGGCGAGCTGGAGGGAACTTTGGCATAGCCCCTATGTAAGGGTCTTGTCGTGCTCGAGAACCATCCGAGCTGGCAGCAGTTGAGGTACCCTGTAAAGCGGCAGCACACTGCAGCATCATCGGCGGCGCCTTTCGGCGTACAGCAGCAGCAAGCACCTCAGCGGCTTCGCCTGTCGTTTGCGGCGGCAGCGGCGGCACAGGCTTTGACATCTTTGGGGCCATGGCGGCTAAACGCACGGCCGGAACCTTGGGGCAGCCCGTAGGGCAGTGGTGAGTGTCAGCCAACGGTGGCTGCAACATTTCAACAGTATCTTCAGAGTCACCACCAACGGACTCAAAACCATTGTGCACCATGCCACAGCTGTTTCCTGCCACAAAATCCCAAAAAACGGGACCTTTTTCAGGGTTACTGTCCCAAAAATCCCTTCGACTTTCATAGGTTCGGTGAGCCCAATTACCATTTTCAGGGGTTCTATCCCAAATCTTCCCAAAACTGTTTTCTCCAGGTTCATCTTCCCTTGGAGATCTCACACATTTTTTGGTTCTTATTTGAGGGTTTATGCCTCCAGGTTCATTTTCCCTTGGAGGTTTTTCTTTGGCCGGTTCATCTCCCCTGGCATCTTTTTCGCTTTTGAGGCCAATGGCTCTTGATGGTTTTTCCACCTCCCTCCCGTCTAAACAGATCTCTTTGGATCGATCCGCTGATGAAGGCGCAGGGTGCCAGTTGCAAGCCAGCCATCCAGCGCATGCAGCAGCAGCAGTAGCACAGGCCAGCCGCACGTCAGCTCGCCCAGCTGCTGAAGACGCCACAGCCAGCGCAGCCATAGCCACGATCACCTTCACCTTGGTCACCACATCATCAGATCCCTTAGTTTCATCAGGTCCTGAAGTGGCGGTTGTTTTGGAAGACCCTTTGGAGGTTTTTTGAGGTGTGTTTTCGGGGTCATATTTGGGGATTGACGCATCGACATGAAACCCAAGGAAATGCCAGAACTTAACCCAATCCCTCAACAACGTGATTGGTTTGGTGAGCATGTCAGCGGGAAGGTCAACTCCCCTTTGGTGTCTGACTTTCCATGTTTGGGGGTCACTTTTCAACAACTCACGCAAGCAAGACGAACGAAGCCTCAAATGGCGTGTTCTCCATCCACCATCAGGGTTCATAAGTATGCTAAGTGCACTTGAATTGTCCCCATAAATAACCTTTTCAAACCCATCAAAACCATCACCCGTATTGCATGAACCGTGGATAACCTTCAATAGGGCTTCAGCAGATTTCAACATTGTTGTGGCTTCGCAGTACCCAACCAATTCGGATTCCGCTGTGCTCATGGTGTGAAATGCCTGCCGAGTTGCCTCCCACTGAATTGGAGATCCTGCAGCACATAGAATGATGCCCTGGTGACTGTGGTCACCTTGAGGAGCGAAGCTGATGTCGGCGAATGCCTCAATGAGCTTCTCATGCCTTGGTACCTGAAGTGTGCCATGTGCACCGTGGTCCTTGTTGCAAGGGCGGTACAGGAGGCAAGTTTCTGGGGTGTTACACAAAAACCCTAGCACGTGTTGTCCCAACTGTTGGACCCACCTTGGTTTTCTAGTAACATTTCTTCCCATGACACTTACAGCATAGGCTATGTCAGGCCTACTTCTCACAGAAAGCCAAAGCAGTTCACCTGTGATTGCTTGGGCTGCACGGACGTCAGGTGTTGTGATATCCGTTTCATCCGTTTCTGAACTGTCCAGTTTTGGCATGGGGCATGACTTTGGGGAAACATGTTCATGACGTTTCAACAACTCAGCAGTGTAAGACTTTTGTCCTACCATCAGACTCACCCCATCATCATGTCTTTTCAACTCAAAACCACAAAACCGGATCCATTCATTTTTGTCAACAGTTTCAACATCAGAACATTTCCATTCCTGTTTCAACCGGTCAAAAAAGGAGTTTCGAACATTGTCATTTGCAAGAGCCATGATGTCGTCCACATAAACAATAACATGACCTTCACATGTTGGTTCGGCATCCCCATGACCATGCTTCATGATTTTCCACAAGTTCCCTTCTTCAGTTCTTTTGAGGGAAAAGTCACAACCATCCATCTTCCATGTGAACCCACTCATGACTTGATCCCTGTGCACGGCCCAATGTGCCGGGCTTGACGTGAATCCATATAAAGCATTATGGACTCTCCACCGTTCAGAAGGGCTGCAAACTTTGGCTTCCACAAGTATTTTTGGGGGCACAACAATCACTTCCCGGGCATCAAGTGGTTTCGGCCTGGGTGCAAGGAGAAATGCTGTGCGAATATCGGTAACGCCAGCGCCCCATCCCATCTGCACGGAGTGAGCCAGTGTAGCTCTGATCAGAATGCCATCAGCGCCAGAAGCGTAGAGATTGCCCGGAGCAGGATCCAAGTCACTTTGCAGCAGGTTTCCACAAACTACTGCTCTACATTTCTTTTTTCCACCATTTGGACCCGCTTTTCGAACAGTCACAAGTTTTCCAGGAACAAACTCAACCGCTTCTTGGTTCAACATGGAAAGGTCAACAGGTTCAATGGCCTTTGTTTCATGGACCAAACTGTTGTATTCTTTCATCATCGCATCCTTCCATTCCCCAAGTTCATTTCTGACTTCATTCAAAGGGATTGTGGTTGTTTGCAAGACCTCCCCCGGATTCACGGCCATGACATCATCAGTTTGAAGGCCACACATTTTAATAACCCGTTTATTTTGGGCATCACGGACCAGGAACAAGTCATTTTCCAACCGTTCTTTTTCCCCCTGAAGCCATTGGATATCAGCCCCACAAATTTCCCCAAGTGATTTCGTGGTAGGAACAACATCCAACAGGTCTTGTAATGAACTGGAAATGGTTTGATGTTTCCAACCCAAACATTTTTCCAAACAATCCAAAGATTCCAACTTGGCAACAACCCTTGATTTCGTCCCCAAACCAAAATTTTCAGGGTTTTTTGGGTGGCTATCTCCCCCGGACCCAGCTTCAACATTCAACCCCTTAACAAACCGTGGTGCCTCCCTAAGGTTTTCTTGGTCGATTTCATCAAAGATCCCCCACATTTCATCCCCATTATCCCCATGTTCACCATCAACCTCAAGAACAACTTCATTTCGGGGTTCATTTTCAGGGATTTTTTCAAGTTGAGAATCCAAAACCAAAGAGGACTCCCCCCCGCGATCCAATCGCGGCAGTGGCGGCAGTTTCATGGGTGCTGGTCCTGGAGGTGGCTGCTTATGCCAAAGACGCAAGTGAGGTTTGCCAGGCCGCAGGTCTTCTTCGAGTTGCAGTTGGGCTTGATCGCCCAGTGGATCTGGCAGTATGGCCTCACGA